ATTTTAAAATTTATTCTTAGAAGTGTAAAAGTTTATTAATTAAAAAAAAAAAAACAACAACAACAACAAAAAAGGAGATTGAAAAACCTGATGAACAATAATAGCGGTTCATTGTAGTAGAGTTGGCGATATGGGAGGGGAGTGGACTGACTGTTCTCGGGGAAAGGGAGGGAGGAAGAGACTGAACATAAACTGTGTACCTATGGATGAGGACAATGGGGAGTGGGGAGGGGGTGGAGGGTGGGGTGGGAACCTGGTGGAAGGGGAAGAAATGAGGAACCTTTGTAATAATATGAACAATAAAGATTGATTTAAAAAAAAAAAAAGATTGGCATTTCATGAAGTGTTACTATAACCATGCTTTTGAATGAGTAAAGTTGATGAAATATATTTTATTATTGTATTATACTTTAAAACAAGGACAAAAGCTATAATACACAGTTGTTAAACTTTATGTGCAAATTCCTGATTTTACTATAATTTTGCTTTTTGTTTTGTTTTGTTAATCCTCATTGTAGGATTTTTTTTTTATTATTGATTTTTAGTGAGAGTGAAAAGAAGAAGGGAGAGAGACTGAGAGACAGAACATCAATGTGAGAGAGACACATTAATTGGTTGCCTCCTGAATGCACCTTGAAGGAAGGCGGTGCATTGAGGATTCACACCTGGAACCCTTCAGTTCATGGGCAGACACTTTATTTTTATTTTTATTTTTCTAAATAAATCTTTATTGTTCAGATTATTACAAATGTTCCTCTCCCCCCCCCCCCATTGCTCCCCTCCACCAGGTTCCCATTTCACCCTCTGCCCTTTCCCTGCCCCCCACTGTCCTCATCCATACATGGGCCGATACTTTATCCACTGAGCCATGAAATGCATTGTTTTGTTTTGTTTGTTTGTTTGTTTTTAATATATTTTATTGATTTTTTACAGAGATGAAGAGAGGGATAGAGAGTTAGAAACATCAATGAGAGAGAGTCATCCATCAGCTGCCTCCTGCACAACCCCATCGGGGATGTGCTCGCAACCAAGGTATTGATACATGCCCTTGACCGGAATTGAACCTGGGACCTTTCAGTCCGCAGGCCGAAGCTCTATCCACTGAGCCAAACCAGTTTCGGCATGAAATGCATTGTTGATTGAATTGGGAGTTAGGAGAAAGTAAAGCGGGGAAACCTCTGGGATTGGATAAATAGCTTACTTTGCTATTTTTAATGGTATCTTTATTTTATTTATATTGAATATTTAATTGTTTCTGATCATATGCCCTGCCCAGGAATCAACCTTGACCTGATTGATAGGTCGATTCTCAACCACTGAACCATGCCAGCCGGGCTATTAATACATTTTTATACAAATATAGGCTTATTTTTAGGTTAGAAATATATAACCCAATAAAGTAACTATTTATCCCAATGAACTTTATTAAGGTATGGAATTTATTTAACAAATATATCTTGAACCCTTACTAAATTTCAGCCACTAGCTTAAGTGGTGGAATTATAAAGGTGAAGAACACATGCCACCCCTGCCCCCCACTGAACTGAGTCTGGTGCAGAGCGGACAAGGGAACAAGCAAACGCGGGGGCTGATAGAGCGGGCAGAGAGAAGTGCGGGGAGGTGATGTCAAGAACGACTTCTTGGAACAACAGGCATCTCCACTGAGACCAGAGAATGGTAGCAATCACAGGAGTACACCTGGAAGGGGAGAAGTGGAAGATTGTTCCAGGCCGAGGAAACAGCAACCACAAGGCAGGAGAGGTAAGAGGTGGCCAGCTAGTCGTGGTGGAGAAGCTGAAAGAAATCTGAGGCTGTTGGCTGGGTAGCTCAGTTGGTTAGAGCACTGTCCTGATACCCCAAGATTTCGGGTACATACAAGAGTCAACCAATAAATGCAAAAACAAGTGGAACAACAAATCTCTCCCCACACCCCATGTTGCTCTCAAATCAATAAAATTTAAAAAACAAAGAAAATTGGGGTTGGAGCAGAAAGTGAGGTGAAGGAAGGATTCAAGACACAGCTGGAGAGTTTGCAGGACCCACATGCTGAAGGGTCTAAGAAGCCTCAGTATGGTTTTGGGGTCTTGCCCTGAGGCCAATAGAATGCCTATGAGTGGTCAAAGCAAAGCAAGTGGTTGATCCCTTTTGCTCTCTGTAAAGACCACTTTGAATGTTCCATGGAGAATCATTGTAGCAGCTAACGTAAGAAACATTCAAACCTGTAGGGAATCCTTTGAGTTTATTTGAGCCAAACTGTTGACAGTTGCCAGAAGCAGAATCTCAACACATTGAGACAGTGCTCTGGAAAATGGTTGTTCACCTATTTTTATAAAGTACCATCAGAGGTGACATTAAGTGGGTCATGTGAAATGTTTGTTGATTGATTAGGGAGGTAGGAGAGAGTAAAGCGGGGAAACCTCTGGGATTGGATAAAAAGTAAAATGAGTCCAGTGTCAACCTAAGAACCAGGTCAGGGTTCAATTCCTGGTCAGGGAAATACCTGGCTGGGGGCTCCATCCCCATTGTGGGTCGCGCAGGAGGCAGCCGAACAATGATTCTCTCTCATCGTTGATGTTTTGCTCTCTCCCTCCCTGTCTGTGATAATTAAAAAAAAAAAAAAAAAAAAAAAAAAGGATTAAAGGGTGAAAGATAGAGGTAGGAACCAGTTTGGGCCAAGCGGCGTTGGCAGCACCGGGCACTCAGCTTCTGACACCTCCTGGCCGTACAGACAGCCAGCTAAACGCGTGAGCCAATCCGGGAGGTGAGACCCGACTGGCACCGCCGAGGCCTGCGCAAGCGCAGTGTGGCCCGTGCGCGCCTGCGCGGTCGGGGGAACTCGGCCCTCGGGCTCCCGGCTGTGCCGCGCGGCGCTAGGACCCCTGCGGCGCCCGCCTCCCTCTCTTTCGCTACCGCCCTTCGCCCCGTGCGCCCGCCTTTTCCGGGTTTTGGCGCGCGCCCGCCCCGTCAGTCGCAGCGGCTATTGGCTGTTACTGAGCGGCGATTGGCTGTCGCTGACGTCGCTCCAGTGCCCTCCCGGAAATGGTCACGCTTGCAAGGGGAGCTTGAGAGACGCGGGAGCTGAGGGGCGGTAAGCAGGGCCCCGCTCCGGGTGGGCAGCGTGTGGGGCCGAGGGCTTCGAGGCCCGGCTCTTCCCGAGTCGCCCCAGCGAGGCTTCCTCTCGCCGCTCGGCCACGGCGGTCGGCCTCCTGCCTGCGCGCCCCGAACCTCCTTGCTCTCTTCTGGGTCCCCGCGGCGCTGCGACACGGTGCCCTCCCCCCCCCCCCCCCCCGCCTTCGGGGGCAGGGCCCGGGCAACTGCTACCCGCCGGGAGGGTCTCCTTTCTTCTCTCCGAGCCTGCCCGCCCTGCGGGCCTGGTGCCTCCACTGGGCCGTCTCCGCCTGCGCGCCGCGATTTCTCGCCTGATTTCCCTCGCGGGCGCTTTGTTTCGGCGGCTGTCGTCTCGCGTCGAGCCTTACCTCTTCTGCCGAACTGTGAGTCGTCAGGGGCTCGGAGCCCGGGCCCCTCCTCCTGAGTCCCCCTCGAGGTTCCCTCTGTGCCCCGCGTTGTACTCACCCGCCAGCACTTGCTAGGATTCCTGTGGAAAAGACGTGCGAAGGCCCCGCGTTTTCCTTTGGTTGACCTTCCTTGTAGAATTAGATCAAGCTTAAGTCAGCGCACCATCAGAAGCAAGGATACGTCACGAATAGTTAACATTTGTTGAGTTCTAGTGGTGTGTTTTGCTGAGCATTTTAATATTATGTGATTGGTTCATAAGTAAATTCAGTGAGACAGGCATAATTATTCCCATGCTACCTTGCCTAAGGTCGTGTAGCTAGTTGGAGCTTTCTGACCAGATCTGTTGACTCCATTACCCATTACTGAGATATTATTGTAGTATCCCTCTTTACGGTCAAGGAAACAGGTTTAGAGGAGCTAAGTGATTTGTCAAAAAATAAAAATAGCTTGTTGGTTGGAGCGTCCTGCCGAGGTTGCGGGCTCCATCCTCAGGGCGTGTACAAGATCAGCCAATGAATGCATAGGTGGAACAGCAGCTCGATGTTTCTGTCTCCTTTCCTCTCTAAAGTCAGTGAATTAAAGAAAAAAGGTAATAAATTAAGTTTGCTTAAATATTAAGAGACCCCCTGCAGTTAGAACTGAACAGGGCTTCCAGCATATTGGAGGAGAGTGACAAAGTGTTCAGTGAGACGTTTGGGTATTGAGTGTAGAGATGTGATGTCTGTGGGGAGGAGGGAATCAGAAAAGTAAGACAGAGAGGAGGAAAATGGAGCTAAACTCACTGGCTTTGAGTTCCTTTTCCATCAATTTCTAACTTTGTGATATTAGGTAAATTACTTAACTTACTGGCCCATTTGTGGAGTAGAGTAATAATAGTACTTACCTCAGTGGGGTTCCAGTATTTAATCGTTTTTGTTTATTTGCTTATTTATATTTTTATTTATTTCAGAGGGGAAGGGAGAGGGGGGGAGAGAGAAACATAAATGATGAGAGAATCATCGATCAGCTGCCTCCAACTCACCCCACACTGGGGATGGAGCCCAAAATCCCCGCACGTGCCCTGCCCAGGAATCAACCTCGACCTGATTGATAGGTGGATTTTCAACCACTGAACCATGCCAGCAGAGCTATTAATGCATTTTTATACAAATGCTTAGGATAGTGCTTGACATTTATTGTTCTATTATTCTAGGCACAGCCAAGTCATTGAGACAAAAAACTTGAACCCAGGTCTTCTTACAGCTGGTCCAGTACTCCACTACACAAGTTGGTGCCTCATTGCATTCCCTGCCTTGGGAAAATGTGGCGATCAGATAGTCACGCTGTCCCCAACTCCCAGGGTGGAAATAGGCAGGGCACAGCCTAGGTAAGGATGGCCGGGGCCAGTGAAAGCGGGATCCGGGGAGCTTGCGAGGTTTCAGGTCATTCTAGGTCTCTGGGTAGCCTGCTTCCTGGGCTCAGCGGTAGTGTGTTTACAATATTTGTGCTCAGTACTGTGTCACAGGTGGGTGTGAAGTGGCTTCTGCGCAGAAGCAGCTAAGATTGCCCAGTTGGGTACATGAGAATAGAACACATGAAACAATCACGATGACCATGAGCAGCATAAGGGTAGGTTTGAGATGTTCCAGGGAAGCCCAGCAAACCCATGCTCACCCCAGTGTCGAAGGCGCCGAGGGCTGTAGATTGAAGGGCTTTCTCTGGTGTGCGGTTAGGCATAGTAGGCTCCTGTACTGTGGGCATGACGGGTTTTATGGATTTTATATTCTCTCTTCCCGCCGCCTCTCCGTGTGTAGTAGAGGCCTTTTTCATAGGTCCTGCCTGTCTCAGGGAGGCCAGAGGGAGCCATGCCTGCTCCCAGGGTCCACATGGGGGGGCCTTGAGAATCAGTGAGAATTAGAAGTCTCCAGGTGAGGTGACACTTGGGACAGAGTCAAGGCCTCTAGCATCCTCTCATCCCCCAGAACTTTTGCTCAGTGTCATCCTCTGCTGTCTGTTTTCCTTTAATGAGGGAAACTTCTCAAACTCTGTTCTGGAACTGCCCGCATGAGAATGGAGTGCTGAGTTAAAGGGGAGATTCCCAGGCTTCACCCCAGCCTTCCTGAATCCAAGCCCCTCTGTGGGAACAGGAGAACTCTGCATTTGTATGCTTTTCTAAAAATTGAAAACTAACTGGTTGTTGTTGTTGTTTGTTTTAATATTTTTATTGATTTGAGAGAGTGAGAAACATCAATTATGATCGGCTGCCTCCTGTGCACCCCACACGGGATGGAGCCCCAACCCGGGCCTGTGCCCTGACAGGGAATCAACCTCGACCTCCTGGCTCATAGGTTGAGGCTCAACCACTGAGCCACACCAGCCAGGCAAGAACCTTTTGTTTTTTATTTAGCTTTCTTCCAACAAATATTTAATACATACTTAAGCATGCTGAATACAAGTTAGGTATGGTATCAACTAGACAGATTTGGCCTGTTTTGTTCAAATGAAATCTGCATTAATTTTTTTTTATTTTATTGATTTTTTTACAGAGAGGGATACAGAGTTAGAAACATTGATGAGAAAAAAAACATTGATCAGCTGCCTCCTGCATACCTCCTGCTGGGGATGCGCCTACAACCAAGGTACATGCCCTTGACCGGAATAAAACTTGAGACTCTTCAGTCCACAGGTCGAGGGCTCTATCCACTGAATCACACCGGTTAGGGCAGAAATCTGTATTTTATATGTTTGTTTATTTTTAGTGCTCAGGCAAGAAGTTTATTAAAAAGCTCACGAGCAAGAGGGAATTATCCCCTCCCCAGGGAAAGGAAGAATGGGCTTCTCTCTTTTTTTTCTTTACATTTTTGTTTAGAGGATGTTGGGGGAGAGTTGGAGTAAACACCTGGTAGGTTAGGGAGAGGCAGATTTTATGGCGTTTGAGAGTCTGGCGGGGCCTTGTGACTCGATGCAGGAAGAAATGAGGAGCTTTGCATTCATGGGCAGGCTGTGGAGTTAGGAGGAGCATGAACTTCGGAGTTAGCCCAACCTGACCTTGTCACACCTAGTGCGTGGCCTTGAGCAAACCAGTTAATCTCTCTGAGCCTCAGGTCTTTATCTGTAAATAAAGTTAGCCTTGATTGAGCATTGACCTATGAACCAGGAGGTCACAATTTGATTCCAGGTCAAGGCACATGCCCAGATTTCGGGCTCCATCCCCAGTGCAAGAGGCAGCTAATCAATGATTCTGGTCATTGATGTCTCTCTCTCCTGCTCCCTCTCTGAAATCAATAAAAATATATTTTTAAAAAATTGTGCTTCATAGTGTGACGAAATTAAACAACACAATGTGAATAAAGTGCTTAGTATGGTGTGTGGCACATAGTAAGTGCCAATTTAAAAGCAGAAGGTGTTGGTATCCCATTTTGAAGCTGATGATGTTCAGGAGCAGAGGGTTGTTACTTGGCTGAAGTCACATAGCTAATGGATAGTGGTCCATGGAGTCTGGATTTGTACTCTGGTTCTTCTCCAGAGCCATCTCTGAACCTGAGCTTGGTTCTGCTTCGCACAGGAATAATTCCCCGGTGGGTTGCTCTGAAGCCATATGAGAAAATGTTCAAGTGCTTAGCTCAGTGCCTGGCACTTGCTAATAAACAAGGTTAGTTTGTACTCCTTTCCCGAGAACACAGAAAGCTTCCAGGCTTTTGAGGAGCTATTCCATCCTTGTTGAAAAGGCCCCGCTTTCTCACAGGTGACTGGGAAGACTTTTTTTTTTTTTTTTTTTTTTTTTTAACATATTTTATTGATTTTTCACAGAGAGGAAGAGAGAGGGATAGAGAGCTAGAAACATCGACGAGAGAGAATCATCGACCAGCTGCCTCTTGCACACCCCCCACCGGGGATGTGTCCACAACCAAGGTACATGCCCTTGACCAGAATCGAACCTGGGACCCTTCAGTCCGCAGGCTGACGCTCTATCCACTGAGCCAAACCGGTTAGGCTGGGAAGACTTTGCTGCAGGTTCTAGGTAGGCTGGCTACGCAGGGTCACCCCCAGCCACTCGGGTGGTTCTGCAGCTGGAGATCTCCTCCTCCTCCTCTAGGGTGAAGGCCATGCCGCCCCCTGGGAAAGTCCCCCGAAAGGAGAACCTGGGGCTGCAGTGTGAGTGGGGGTCCTGCTCCTTTGTGTGCTCAGCCATGGAGGAGTTCTTCGAGCATGTCACTCAGCACCTGCAGAAGCACCTGCACAGCTCGGGGGAGGAGGAGGAGGAAGAGGAGGAGGACCTGCTGGGTAAGAGGACACGGGAGGGGAAGGAGCTCAAGGGAAGGGGAACATCTGACTTTCCTTCCCGCCGACGGAGAAGGCAGTGCAGGAGAGTGGTGGTTTAATTTTCTAGCTGTGCTTTTGTTATTTGTAAAAACATTGTAGACGCATAGAAAACTCATTCAACAAATGTTTTCAACGACCAGACCCATCGAAGTTCTTAATTCATTTCTCCTCATGGAAATCTGCAGTCATCACAGATAAAGTCACCAAAGAGCCTCCTGTTGTCCTTCTTACAGCACAGCACTGGCCTTTGCAGTTCCCTGGCTTTCTTCATTCTGTCCTTGCATTCCTTTCCCATTCCTTCCTTTCTTCCTTCCCTCCTCCCTTCCTTCCTTCCTTCCTTCCTTTCTTTAAAAAAAAAATTATATATATCTTTTATATATATTATTTTAAACTCCCCCCCCCCATTTTATTGATTTATTACAGAGTGGAAGGTAGAGGGATAGAGAATTAGAAACGATGAGAGAGAAACATCAATCAGCTGTCCCCTGCACCCCCCCCCCCACACACACACACTGGGGATGTGCCCACAACCAAGGTACATGCCCTTGCCTGGAATCGAACCTGGGACCTTTCAGTCTGCAGGCCGACACTCTATCCACTGAGCCAAACTGGTCTCTATATTTTTTTTACAGAGAGGAAGGGAGAGGGACAGAGAGAAACATCCATGAGAGAGAAACATCGATCAGCTGCCTCCTGCACACCCCTTAATGGGGATGTGCCTGCAACCAAGGTTCATGCCCTTGATCGGAATCGAACCTGGGACCTTTCAGTTCGCAGACCGACGCTCTACCACTGAGCCAAACCGGTTTCAGCTGTTTTTTACATATTTTTATTGATTTCAGAGAGGATGGGAGAAGAGAGAGAGAGAGAAACATCAATGATGAGAGAATTGTTGATTGGGTGTCTCCTGCATGCCCCAACTGGGGATTGAGCCCTCAGCCTGGGCATGTGCCCTTGACTGGAATTGAACCTGGAACTCTTCAGTCCACAGGCCGACACTCTATCTGCACTGGTATTTATTTGTTTGTTTGTTTGTTTGTTTGTTTATTAGAGGCCCAGTGTATGAATTCGTGCATGGGTGGGGTCCGGCCAGCCTGGCCCGGGGGAGGGGACATGGGCGGTTGGCCGGCCAGTCTGCTGGTTGAACTACTGGTCGAGGGGCCTTTTTATTACACTGAGTGGCCAGATTATTATGTGTTCAGAGATCATAATAATCTGGCCACTCAGTACATTTTTTGTTGATTTCAGAGAGGAAGGGAGAGGGAGAGAGAGATGAAACATCTTTGATGAGGGAGAATCATTGGCTGCCTTCTGCACGCCCCACACTGGGGATCAAGCCTGCAACCCAGTCACGTGCCCTTATCCGGAATCAAACCCGGACCTTTCAGTCTGCAGGCTGATGCTCTGTCCACTGAGCCACACTGACCAGGGCTGACCTTTCTTTTGTACTGTACAAGCTGTTGGTAACTTGCTTTTTTCCCTCTTTTTTTTTTTTTTTTTAATGTGACCACCAATTAGGAATAAATTTTACATCACAATCCTGTACACACAAGTTAAAAATATTTGAAAGTATTTACCTGTATTAAATGCTCTCTGAAGTGTTCTCTTATTCTGTTTCTTTAAAAGAAAAAAAAAATGTGGCCTCACTGGTGTGACTCGATTGTTTGAGTGTTATTCTTTGCTTGGAAAGGTTTTACTGGTTTGATTTCCGGTCAGGTCACACATGTGGTTCCGGGTTCCATTCCCAGACAGAAGGCAACTGATCGGTGTTTCTCTTTCACATCAATGTCTCCTTCCTTCCCTCCCTCACTCCCTCCTCTCTCTTCAAGCATGTCCTTGAGTGAGGATTAAAAGAAAGAAAGAAAATGTGGTTTGCAATCCCCTGAATTGATTTTGCCACCACTAATAGGTCACAGCAGAGTTTGAAAACTGAGGAAGAAAGTACAGAGATAGCTCCCTTCGGATTCTGTTCGAAGTTGTGACTAAAATATGTAGCTAACAGTTTCAAAAGCTAAATGATATTTACACAAAAGAGAAATTAAGGGATTGTGATATTTTTCAAAGTATAACCCATGTAAGCATTGACAGTATGGTGCTTAGATGGAATGGTTACGGACCTTCCTGGAGAAGACGATCGGGAGCAGAACACGGGAGGAGAGGGTTTGTGCTGGACACAGAGCGGGTGTCCCTGTTGGGAGGCCCCAGCTGCCGCAGGCGCAGCACACACTCAGCCAGGGAACTGCACGCCACACCGGCCCCCGAGGTGCCGGCGCTGGGACTGGGACCCTGCCCTCCGCACAGCTCACACCTCCCCTAGTTCATAGACCGCCCTTCGGACCTGACACGGCGCTTCCAGACGCCCCCTCTGTTCCACCTGCAGGGAACTTCGGGTTGGTCACAGCTTATAACTCTACCTGTGATGATTCGATGAATGCTTTTCCAACCTGGCTGTAAGCTCTGTGAGGGCAGAGGCTGGGGCTCTTGACTCGTGACATCCCAGCACTTGGCACACGGAGGTGCACAAGGTGCTGAAGGAACTGACAGTTGGTCAGGGTGCAGCTTCCTCACCTGCTGCCAGTGCCACAGGTGGAAGGAGCGAGCATAGAAAGCATCGTGTTCTCTCTAAACCCCTTTCCGCAGAGGAAGAGTTCTCCTGCTTATGGCAGGAGTGTGGCTTTTGTTCTCTGGACAGTTCTGCCGACCTTGTCCGCCACGTCTACTTCCACTGCTACCACACGAAGCTGAAGCAGTGGGGGCTGCAGGCCCTGCAGAGCCAGGCCGACCTCAGCCCTTGCATCCTGGACTTCCACAGTCGCAACATCATCCCCGACATCCCGGACCACTTCCTGTGTCTGTGGGAGCACTGTGAGGTCAGCAGGTAGTTGCCAGAAATAGGGGCGGGGGGAAGTTGCAGGTTTGAACTCTAGAAGCCTTGATCCTTTCTTTGGACCCTTACGGTCCTGGGCTCCTGCTAGTACTCCTTCATGGCTGCGGGGCTCCCTTGCTCAAACGTCCCCGCCCTCAGAGTTCACTTGGGAGGGAGCCTGTGGACGCATGGGGTTAGGATCCCTCCACCTGCCCTCAGTCCTTACCCCAAGTTGCTCCTGGCACAGAGATCCTTCGACAATCCCGAGTGGTTCTACCGGCACGTGGAAGCGCACAGCCTGTGCTGTGAATACAAAGTCGTTGGCAAGGACAGCCATGTGGTGCTGTGCGGCTGGAAAGGTAGGGTCGCTCCTCAGCTCTGGCCTCAGCAGAACCCTGGGATTCTGAAGGGCTAGAGCAGCTGGGTGTCCTGCCGGGCACAGCTGGCTGCTGCTGGAAGCCGCGGGCGGGGGTCCAGAGCCTGCGTGGGCGTGTGGCTGGACCTGCCTGGCCCTTCCTCCCAGGCTGCACCTGCACCTTCAAGGACCACTGCAAGCTTCGTGAGCACCTGCGCAGCCACTCCCAGGAGAAGGTGGCGGCCTGCCCCACCTGCGGGGGCATGTTCGCCAACAACACCAAGTTCTTAGACCACATCCGTCGCCAGACCTCACTGGATCGTAAGCAGCCAGCGTGGGTGCAGGCTGTTCAGCCTGTGGGGTTGGGGCGTATTTCCAGGGCTGTGTGCAACCTGGCGGTCTGCCTTAGGGCTCGGGCACCTGCATGGTCTCTGCTGACTCGCAGTTATTAGGCATTGCTGCTCAGCTGACTGTGCTGTCAGTTACTTAGTGAATCTTCACAGCAGCCCGTGCGGTAGGCCTCTTATCCCCTTTTTGCAGATGAGGAAGCTAAGGCTCAGAGAGCTTAAAATCACTTACTTGAGACCACACAGCTAGTAAGTGTCCAAGCCAGGATTCTAATTCAGTTCTCCGTGCCAAGTCCGACGCTCTTTCTGTGATTCTGTCCATCCTAGTCCCTAAGCCCCTGTCTCCTCGGGTGGTTCCCTTTTGTCTGGGAGGCTCCCCTCTGGGACTCGTTCTCCCCTCTACCTCCGCCCTCTTCTACAGCCACCCCTTCTTTTCCTGCCTGCCCCAGAGCAGCGCTTCCAGTGCTCTCACTGCTCCAAGAGGTTTGCCACTGAGAGGCTGCTGCGAGACCACATGCGTAACCATGGTGAGTGATTGGGCACCACCAGCCTCCCTGCCCACCCCCAGGTTCCCCTGGCCCTCAGATACAGCCTCCTCTGCTCCTCAGTGAACCACTACAAGTGCCCTCTGTGCGACATGACCTGTCCCTTGCCATCTTCCCTCCGCAACCACATGCGCTTTCGCCACAGCGAGGACCGGCCCTTTAGATGCGACTGCTGTGACTACAGGTAAGGGGACCGGGCCGGAAATCACAGACCTGGTGTTCTAGAGTCCCCATGCCCTCCCACCCTCCTGACCTCTTCTGGCAGCTGCAAGAATCTGATCGATCTCCGGAAGCACCTGGATACCCACAGCAAGGAGCCAGCCTATAAGTGTGATGTTGAGAACTGCACCTTCAGCGCCCGAGCCCTCTGCTCCGTCAAGTCCCATTTCCGGAAAGTGCATGAAGTGAGTGGGGCTAGGGTGGAAGGGTCAGCAGAGTGGAGGGCGGGGGGTGAGCTGAGAGCTGACCTCCCTTCCCCCCCATCAGGGTTACTCAGAGCCAAGGTACAAATGCCACGTGTGTGACAAATGCTTCACCAGGGGTAACAACCTCACTGTGCATCTTCGAAAGAAGCACCAGTTCAAGTGGCCCTCAGGGCACCCCCGTTTCCGGTATGTCTCCACCCTCCCATAGGTTCACACACATTTCTTCCCATACTCAAATTACAGTTTTTAATTTGACAGTGCCTTGATGCCCTCCATCCCCATTTAGGCTCAAGGAACCCCAAGATTAGCAGTGAGGGAGGCAAAAATATTTTTCTGATTTTTGAATTCAAGGTACAGTAACAAACCCAAGAAATGGTTTTGTCAATAAAAAGTCCTGCAGCCAAATTAGAAGTAGAGCCTAAGGGTCCAGAACCATAGCTCCTTGACCTCAGCCTCTGTAGTAATTTCTTATTTTTCCTCCTCCCTCACCCCCACCTTCTGGGTTTCTACTTAAAATTCTCCATTCTGAGTAATGAGCTTCCTCTGGCTTTCATGTCCTGATAAACATCTCTGTCTTCAGCTCCATTACTGAGAAACCCAGGGCTCCTATCCCTTGGGTTTGTTCCTCACTTGCCACGCCCCCATTTCTGTGGCCCCGCCCCTGCCTGATGCCACGCCTGCTCCTGCTTCCCCAGATACAAGGAGCATGAGGACGGCTACATGCGGCTGCAGCTGGTTCGCTATGAAAGTGTGGAACTGACACAGCAGCTGCTGCGGCAGCCACAGGAGGGCTCGGACCTGGGAGCGTCCCTGAACGGGAGCGGCCTGCAGAGCATCATTCTAGAAACAGTGCCCGGGGAGCCAGGGCCCCCGCCAGAGGCGGGAGAGGAGGGCCGAGGTGGTGAGGACGGCCTCTCGGCCTCTCAGGACACCTCCGGTCCTGTCATCCACGTGGTGAATCAGGCCAATGCCCAGGAGATTGTCTACTATGTGCTGTCCAAAGGCCCGGGAGAGTCCCACCCCAGCCCCTGAGCCCCCCAGGGGCCTCAGGAAAAAGCTTCAGGGAGGAGCTGGGAACCAGAAGTCCGGATGGCGTGAAGGCGGTCAAGCAGCAACATTCCGAGCCCAGGCTTGGGTCTGAGCCAGGCTGGTGGCAGTGCCCCTTGGGGCAGCCCTTGCCAGTGGATGCCTTTTGGAGGGGTGCTGGGAGCAGTGTGGTCCACTCAGGATCTGGCTTGCATCAGTCGGCAGATTCTGAGGACTTTCCTTTTCTGCCACACCATGCCTTTGTGGGGACCCTGAGGAGCTGGGACCGAGGAGGATAGCCTGGTTGTGTATGTTCTTTTCTGTAGAGGGAGCTACCCTGTTTCCCCAAAAATATTTTTTCTCCCAAAGTTGCGCTAGGTCTTATTTTCAGGGATGTCTTATCTTTCCATGTGCTAGGTCTTATTTTCGGAGGATGTTTTATTTTCGGGGAAACACGGTAGTGTCAGGCCCAGCCGTGACCTCTAGACATGCTGGAGCAGTAGTGAAAGCCCTTAGCTTGCACCCATTCCTGTCTTTAGGGTTTCTCGGGCCCCAGAATGACATGGATCTAGTTCCTGCCAGGGCCCTTCCTTTCACCCGCCCAGCTGAGGCTGTGTCTCAGGAGCCACTTCCCTCCCAGGGTTCCTCCCGCCCCCCAAGGACTTCAGCGTCATGCTCAGGACTGAGGCGGGGTGGTGTGCGTGGCGCTTGTTTTGGTAATAAATGCTTCTGCTGTTAGTCTGTGTGGTGTTTGGTGCAGTTAACTAGGTAATGAGATACAGCCACCCAGAAAAGGAGCTGAGTAATTAGGCTTGTTCCCCTTTTAATGCCTGGGGTTTCTGTTCCCAATTCACCCCCCCCTGCTTTTATGAAATGTCCATTTCTTCTCAGCATCTACCCTCCTTCTGGAGGTCCTAGGCAGAGGCCATCCTGTCTAATAAAAGAGTAATATGAAAATTAACTGTCACTCCAACACAAACTGACCACCCTCATGTGGACACAGATGGCCAGCAGGGGAGGGCAGTTGGGGGCGATCAGGCTTGCATGGGAGGGCAGTTTGGGGTTACCAGGCCAGCAGGGGAGGGCACTTAAGGGCAATCCGGTTGGCAGAGGAGCAGTTAGGTGATCAGGCTGGCAGGGGAGTGGTTAGGGGATGATCAGGCAGGCAGGCAAGCGGTTGGAAGCCAGCAGTCCTGGATTGTGAGAGGGATGTCTCAGATTAGGGTGCAGGCTGGTCTGAGGGACACCCACCCCCATGCATGAATCAGCCTCTAGGGAATTTATAATAGCACTCTAGGACAGGTGAGTGGGGCTAACCACAAAGATACAGCATCAGACCATGCCTTCACCGGAGTGCCTCTGGGGCAGGCAGTTCTTTCCCTCGGGGCCTGGGGCTGAGGAGGAGGCTGGCAGTGAGGATGGATTTGGGGGCCTAGGGACTGGTCGGAACTTGGAGTCCAGAACTAAGGTGGGAAATTGTGTGTGTGAGTGCATTTTCCTGGGGAAAGGGTCGGGTTTTCATCCAGTTCTCAGAGGTTGAAGCCCTCCAAAATAAGAATTAGGTGTGTCCAGCCACTTTGCAGTAGCCTATGTCCATTCTAAAAGTCTGCGCTCTGGAGAGGCCAAGAAAGGATTCTCCAGAGTCTTGGCTGGACAGGTAGCTGCCCAGCAAGAGTTTCTGGGCCTTAAAAACTGCCAAGCCGAAACCGGTTTGGCTCAGTGGATAGAGCCTTGGCCTGCGGACTGAAAGGTCCCAGGTTCGATTCTGGTCAAGGGCATGTACCTTGGTTGTGGGCACATCCCCAGTGAGCTGGTCGATGTTTTTCTCTCATCGATGTTTCTAACTCTCTATCCCTTTCTCTTCCTCTCTGTAAAAAACCAATAAAATATATATATATAATATTTAAAAATATATATATACTTTGATGTTGCTTGATTTTGTTATATGTGTTATATTAGAACTTTAAAACAATATCAATTGTTTAAAAAGCAACAGCGGGGGCTCTGACTAGAAGGCCCTCCTGCACCAACCTGTCCCAGGTGCCTATGCTCCACGTCGCTGCTGCCCTGGGCTCCTCCATCCACTCTTCATGCATTTCTCCAAGTGGCCAGCAGAGGGCCTTCCATCAACAAATGCACTAAAACCATTGCGTCCAAAAATGAGAGCGGGTCACAGTGGGCTAGCAGGCTTGGAGCAGAACCCCGGGTGATGGAAGCGGAACTGCATCAGCTTCAAAGTCCAGTTCCCTTCCAGTGGTTATCTGGAGAGAATGAAGAGCCTGCCTACAAAGTGGAGGGAAACAGTTGTTTGGGAATAGGGTTCTGAGAGACCCCATAGAAGAATGGGTCAAAGCAAGTACTTTAGGGTTCAAGCCCCGCTCTGCTATCAACTAGACATGTCCCCTTGGGTACATTGCTTAACCCCAGGATTCAGTTTCTTTTTAAATATATTTTTACTGATTTCAGAGAGGAAGGGAGAGGGAGAGAAACATCAATGATGAGAGTCATTGACTGGCTGCCTCCTGCACATCCCCCTACTGGGGATCAAGCCCTTAACCCAGGCATGTGCCCTGACCAGGAATTCATCTGTGATTTCCTGGTTCATAGGTCAGTGGCTCAACTACCGAGCCATGCCAGCCCGGCACCTATACTTCAGTTTCTATCTCTGAATTCCTACCTTATGAAGATTTTGTGAGGATTAAATTAGATAATGTCCATAGTAGTTGCTCAATAAATGCAGCTGTTGGGGTGTCTATAGTGGGTATTGCAGGTGTGAGAGAGGAGAAGCTTTCCTCTACCCTCAAGTTTTTTGTTTTTTTTAAAATATATTTTATTGATTTTTCACAGAGAGGAAGAGAGAGGGATAAAGAGTTAGAAACATCGATGAGAGAGAATCATCGATCAGCTGCCTCTTGCACACACCCTACTGGGGATGTGCCCACAACCAAGGTACATGCCCTTGCCCGGAATCGAACCCGGGACCTTTCAGTTTGCAGGCCGACGCTCTATCCACTGAGCCAAACCTGTCCCGGCTACCCTCAAGTTTCTTCTGGCCGGTGTAATAACCAAGCAGACACAGACCGGTTAGGTGGAGAAAACCACCAATTAATTACTTATATATGTTTGGGAACCCCATATACATGAGAGAGTCAGAGATTATACACATACACACACACACACACACACACACACACACGAGAGGTTTAAAAACAGTGGGTTCTTTTTATTTTATTTATTAAATATATTTTATTGATTTTTTACAGAGAGGAAGGGAGAAAGAGAGAAACATCAATGCTCAGGGGCGGCCTGCATGGCGGTCTTGCCGACTCAGACCTAAAGTCACCACAAGGGTGGTGTGAAATGAAACCTTAACTAAAGCAGTGATGGTGCAGTCACCTCCTGGGTCGGTATCTTCCCTGACAAGGCCAGCCTTTACCTTCCCGGAGCCCGTCAGTCTTTCGGCATCAGTGATAACACACCGTGGAAGTGTCTGGTAGCTTGTCACTTCCCTTTTCCCGGAGCCCCTGGGACACAGCCTGACGTGCTGGGCTCCAGGACAGAGACCACAAAGTCCTTCATTACCGTGTTAATTGTCCCTGCACCCACCTGAGGACGTGTCCGTCATTTTACTTTTTACCCAGTCCCAGGGTTTCCCGCTTTGCTTTCTCCCGCCTCTCCAGTCTATCACCAGTGGATTTCATGTCCCCACCCGTGCCCCTCCTCTGATGGCCATGTATGAACACAGGTGGACCCGCCATTCTCCGGAGCGTTACCTCAGTCCGCTGTGGTTCTGCTTCCCGGCACATGTCCACAGTTTGGCTCAAATAAACTCACAAAATCCTTCCCAGGTCTCAATGGTTTTGTTATGTTAACACCTTTAACTCATAACAAGCCGCATATCACAGAGGCCGCCTTGGGGTGGCTCCTGAACTCCCACGGAGGTTACCCCGGAGAATCCAGGGTCTGGAGGAATGGAGGTGATGCGGGCGGGTGGAGGGAGAAGGTGGGGAAGGCCGGCTCCCAAGCCCACCCAAACCTCTCAGTCACAGGGTGGGCCCTGAGCTGTCCTGCAGGGGGCGCCCCCCTCCAGGCTGCCAGGAGGGGAGAGTGGGGGAGAG